GTGTTTCCCGAAACAACATCGAACAGCAGCATTGATTTCGTGAAGATTCGACCCCTCATCATTGGGTGTGCACACAAAGCAGTAAGTGTAAGCACACAAACAACATGTTGGCAGCCACCAACACGACGAAATCGACAATATGCGTTTTTCGTTTTTTTTATACACCTGACACACGGCGTGGGATTAGATGTGTCGGACACATACGTAACATTGCTGTTGTCCTCCCGCACAGGGTCATCACACGCAACACACACGTATTGTATACGAGAAACGGCGACAATCAGAATATTAATATGTACACACAGACATCTGCAGCGTCAGCACCAAGCGCCTTATTTTCTTTGTTCCTTTAATGTTCGTCGTGACGCCATCATCGCATAATATATCACCAGCAGAAATATGTTGCGCACTGGTGACGAGCGAGAGGGGGCAGCAGTCCACAGCGTTTCCCGCATGAGAGAACTGAACAGATAAAAAACATGCGAGTTCACCATTCGCACGTCAGATTCCAGCTGAGAAACGACTTGAAGTTTAGCAGTGTTGCCTACGAGCAAACAAAAGCAAACACCCTCACCACGGGCTAAGAAGGGCTGTGTTCGCGCGTTTCCGGCGTACAAACAGGAAGGCAGTGACCGTAGCATCATGGTGTCTCGAACCCGGAGGGAAGGTTCAGGTTTTGAGCGTGTGCAACACAGCCCTAAAAATAGATGAGGAGGAATCATTTTGTTGATGGTGACCTGCTGCAACATGCTCACACAACGAACGATAATATGGTCTTCTCCGGACGGAAAACACGGCCGGAGATAAGCTCTTTCGCTGAAATCCAACAGAGTGCGACGGCAACAACTAATGTCAGATGGAAATATGCGGGAAGCGCTCAACGACGGGGCGGGGGGCTCTGGGTAGGACATTTGGGTGGACGTCGAAAGCAATGCCGTTCGAGCACCAAGCGGCGGAGCATTTCTGCTCGCCGCTTTCGCCCTCTGTCTCGTCATCAACCCCGTGTGGTGCTCCTAAGCTCGCAAAGCTGCAATTCTATTCACCGGATTTTGACCCACCAGTATGCTGTTTCCACCCTGGGAATGCAGCGCTTGTCTTCCGGTGACGGGGTGTGGCGTTTGGTGGACGTCAACTCGGTTCTAATTCCAATCGTTTCCCGGCGTGAAATCTGATTGTTTCGACAACAACAGCCGCTGTTGCTTTTTTTCCGCAACGGTATTGTGTGAACTGCTCTCTCCTCCGGATTTTGGGGCTATGTTTTCTTCTTTTCATCGTTGGAGGATTGGACTAACTTGATATCAAACATTCGAACGATTTCGGATGATGTGATTCGAGTTGTACACATGCCCTCGATCGTAACTATCAATAGCTTTCAGGGAAATGTTTAGAATAGTTTTCCTAAACGCGTACTCAGAGTGTTTTGGGTAAGTTTTACTCATACTCGGTTGGTACGGCTGAGTAGTTTTAGAGTACACCCTGAAACGCTTGAGTACGGATGAGTTTTTTGAAATACCTCGAAAGCTTTTGTCAAAGTTGAGTATTTTTGAAATACTTACTCAACCTCCTGAGCACCGATGAGTAGTTTTGAAAAACTGCTCCACATTCCGAGTACGGGTGAGTATATTTGGACTCAATGGCTTTAGTACAGGTTGAGCATTTTGAAAACTTTCTCAAGGATATAATCAAGGATGAGTAAAATACTCGAGTGTCTGAGTACGCATGAGTAGGTTTGAAATACTTCCTCAACCTCTTGAGCATGGTTGAGTATTCATGAAGTACTGCTGTACCCCCGGGAAAAGTGTACTCATATCCGGTGAAACTCCCGAGACTGAGAGATGACTAATGATGACGTCAGTCGTGCGGGACAATTTCTGCGGCCCTTGCATGCACCACCGCCAAACAACACACTGCTGCTGCGGGCACATCATCACTCGCGTGTAAAGCGATACTAAATTTTCCAATACTTGTACCCATCGGGTAGGTGTAGTGTCTAGTGTCATGAGTGACGCAGCTGCTACAAATGCAGCGGCACCCGCCAATACAGCAGCGGCGGCACCCGCCGATGCAGCACCCTTGGAGGCAGCGGAAGCACCAGCAACAGATGCTGAGGTGATCCAGATCCCACGGCCAGGTGGGGCCTCCACGACTGTTCGCATCAGAGAACCGACTGTTGCTCACAGCACGGCGAACTCCGAAGTGTACTCTGTGACGGCGGAAACGGTGTCCGCCGTCAAAAACTTCAAAACACCAGACGGTTACCAATAGGAAGGAAACGCGAGGACTCCTTTCTCTTCTCTCTGGGAAACTACTGCAAGCCCCATGTCATAGTTGGTTATGTTTTCTTGTGCTACCCAAGTACGCGATCTCCGTATGCTACGTGTATCATACCCGCGGTGGTCGAGTATTCTTGGGTACGCCGAGTGAGTATACTTGGGTAACTTGAGCACTACTGAACATGCCTCGGAGGACTCCGGTAGGCCGGGCATGGTTGAGTAAGCGTGAGTACGATATGATGTACTTTCTCAAATGCCTGAGTACGCATGAGTAGTGTTGAAATACATAACTCATAGGCTTTAGGCGAAGTTGAATATTTTTGAAATACTTTCTCGAGGATACTCTGAAGGTTATGTAAAATACTCGAGTAGCTGAGAACGCGGGAGTATATTTGAAATACTTACTCAAACTGTTGAGTACACTTGAGTATTATTGGTATACCTACTCAAGAAGAGCTACTCGAGGTTAAGTACAATACTCAAAAGTAATTGAGTATGATTATAAATACTTAAACGTTCCCTTGATATCTTTGCTTCATGTCACCTGCGGGAGTAAATACCACTAAATTTTCGCCAATAAAAAACTTCCTAAAACAGCACGCCGCATGCAGCGCGTGTGTCATCCCACCAATCGTTAATTCTCCGCACAGGGCAGCCGTAGAGGGTGCGTAATAAATGTACATATCATGAGTATACCGCCACATGCCTCCTGTGAAATCACGATTTTGAAGCCCGATAGGGTTTCAGTGTCTGTCAGCGAAAATGTAAGAATTTTCTTCGATGTTGACGCCAGGTTATGTTCCCCAGGTTCCCAGGTTCTGTGCCCCAGTTTGTTCGCCCAATTCGCGCCGCGTCTTGTTTTTTTCACTTGGGGTTAGAATTGGCGACATCCGGCTGCTTCTCTGAAAGCAAGTTGTTTTTCTTCGGTCGATGTTCTCGAGATTCCAACAACAGATGTTGGAGTGAGTTCGAAGACGTTCCTCCCGCCCCCACCCGGTCTTCCTGCAAGTGTGATGGAAACCCTTGTCTCAGTTTTTGGGACACGCGTCTCTCTTTTTTATAACTTCGTGATCTCCTCGGTCCCACACCATGCTAGGCATGTCACGGCTATCTCGCCAGCCTTCCACAAGCGTACATATGGCTATGCACCAGTCCTCCCTGCATCTCATTTGTGCAGCGTCGACCGTGCTTAAGCGAACCGGTGTGTGGCAAACCCGTTTTTTGGCGTGTCCTCAACTATATACACTGAAGTAACTTTTGCTATAAGCACAATGAAACTTTTATTTTGTCTCTCTCCGTCGATAAAACCCTTCAATAATCAGTAGCTAATCCAAACCCATGCTCAATGGCGCACAACCCCTCTCTACATACCGCTGTCTTTGGTGCATGTACTATGTAGACTGAAGGTGACCTTCCGTGCATTTTTGATATCCAACAGGGCGACCCCATAAAAGAGTCATATACTACAGTACCGTAAGGATGCGAAAAAACACACGGGGGTGCGATCGATATTTGAATGATTTAGCTCTTGACTTTTTCATCCCACCCCCGTGCGGTATCACCGCTCCCCGTGCTATTATCGAATTTCATTATTTGGTTCTTGGTTTTCATCGCACGAGGGCTGCGATGTCACCGGTACGTGGGATACTGAGTTAACAACAAACCCTACAGAAGCAGTACCGTAGTCCCGTGGGTGCGTTCGACTAATACCCCGGTGCGACAACTCCGATACGTGCGATACCCAACATGTCACGGCCGTACTGCATGACACACACACGATCGGTGCCAACACACACCGAACACAGAGAAAACGCACATTTCTGCATATCATACTTATCATAGCGAGACACGGCGGGAGTAAAAGCGGCGAATGACGACAGTAATTCCCCTCCACCGAGAGGTCGCTTGCACAAACCCACCGTGCCACACTCCGTCGCCGCATGTCAGCGGGTTCAGCCACGGAAGCTGCCACAGCCTCACAGGCTGTGCTGCTGCCGCTGAATGAATAACTCACGTGACCAATGAGTCTCCTCTGACTCCTTGTTTTTGTCATTGTGCCATACGTACAGAACAGCACCGTTCACGATACCGCGAAGTACCTCCTGCGCAGCGAGTGTCCCGGAGCCACTCGGGGCTCCGTATTGTTGATGTCCCACCCCCGTGCGATGTCACCGAACCCTGTTCGATAATCGAATTAAATTACTTGGTTCTTGGTTTTTTATCGCACGGGGGTGTGGCATCACCGGTACAAGCGAAATCACCGAACCGTGCGTTCGCTCGTATCCTACGGTAGTCCTTCTGCGGTTGCTCTTGTGGTGGGCGTGAAACAACCAGTCAGCGTTGACGGATCGATCCAAAAGGCACCTTTTTGGCACCGTTTCCTCACCCACCAGACAGACGCTATCCAACGCATAACAAGAGAGGCTAGCACACTGGCGTAGTGGCACTGTACACCCGCTGTCATTTATGGAGAAGAACAGGACTCCGCGCAAAGAAAAAGGGAGCCTCGCTCCCGTTTGTTTCCATTGGGATTTTACGGGACAAGAAGCGCGAATGAATCTCAATTTAGCACCGCCTCTGTCTGCATATATACACGCTGCTCCAATTATAGCTAAACTCTATGCCTATGCATACAGAAGTACATGCAGCAGCAGTACCGCCGTCCTTTCTTTGACAGAGGGTTGATTTTGTTGCGTTTGACGTGTTTTACACTGTGTGGGGATTCAGGCATGTGGCAACGGAAGAACGACAGCGTTGCATGCGGCGTGTGGAAGCTTTGGACCGAGAATTGTCGAGTAGAGGCCGGGTACAACAGCCTGAGGCCGCCGCGCTCTCTGCGCTGAAGCAGGTAAGACCTTCACAACCTTAACGGATTCAGAATTGATGTGATCGAGTAAAGTACTGCTTTTTTCCTAGAGTTGGGAGTGCCGATTCCTCCCATATATTCTGGACGTCGGCTTTGTACACCGTTCGGCACAATTTCGGACGTACTGGCCTGGGTCACATCAGAAAGGCCACCTAGGAGTGTTTTTGGCCTTCCTTCCGCGGTGTTAGCCTTCAGTTTTGTTGCGAATAGGATTTACTTGCGTACACACGAAGTTATTACTCTCCACATTGTTTGGGCATACACCAGTGAGATAAAATCCAGTTTGTGTGAGTTCACCGCATTTCGAACCTACGCCGTAAACCTCAGAAGGTTGCGTGGTTATCTATTGAATCATTAAGCGAATGTTGTGTGACCCATCACCTCCAAGCCTCCTCACACGCCGTCAGCGACCTTCCCTTGTTGCGCACATAGTCATGCCGTGCTGCCTTGTTGTCGCTGTAGGAGGAAAACTTCGCGCTGGAGAGTCAGCGGGCGGCAGCGCTGCGCGTCGCCGAGGAGTGCGATGTGACCGTCGCTCTTGAGGAAGCAAAGTTTGCTCAATGGAGGTGAACGAGGAAATGGGGACAGTTGGCAATCTGTAGTAGGGGTCACTTTCGACCCAGACGAAATGACTGTCCGCGAGTCCAGGTTCTAGGTTCGTACGAAGACAGCGCTTGCAAATGCTTTTCGGTTACCAGGGAACGTTATGATGCGTGCTGATGCCAGTGTCGCGTGTGTTTGATATAACGCTGCAACACAAAATCAAACTCCATTCTTCCCTTGGGTTGTTCATGCGTTGTAGGAAGGAAAACATGCGCCGCAAGCATGACTATGTTCCGTTCGCTGTGAAGCTCCTGGACCTCCTGGCTCAAAAGGTAAGCGTCAAGGAAAAAACTAACAAGGCGAAGGTAAGGTGAATACAAGTAGGCACCAGGGCAACCGCGTGTTGTGCGAGGTATCGTGGGGTAGGAGTTGCCTACTTGTTTCCCGTAACATCACCCGTGCAATCATCACCTCTTGAAACCCCACGCGTACCTTGTGCCCCGCGTGTCTTTGGGGACTGTCACCAAATACATTTGGATGCGTGCTCTGCATGTCATTTATGCTACGCTATGTAACGGATGAGAGCCTGCGATCGAAAAATCACCGCAGTCAGTCATGCATGCGGTTCAAATTCACGTCCGCATGTGTAACTTTATAATAACTCTATGAAACGCCGGCGCTCTTGTGGCACGCGGCCAACGTGCATTCGAGACAATGCTGCATCCTCTGAAACTGGCGTCTGGAATAAGTTTCAGAGCCGGGTGTACTCCTTTCTGTGACAAACCGTATGTTCTTCGCCGTGTTCTGCCGTTACCACGTGTCCTCGAAACGTACAACCTAGAGTGTTCTCCACGAGCCTCGAAACGTACGTCGAAAAGCGGATTAGATTAACATCCGGGGTCAACTATCGCGTCGTTGCGCCCGTTTGCTACTCGTGCTGTTAGCATCGCACACCGAAATGAGAGGACATGTTACGCTGTTTGGAAGCATGTCTCAAAAAACACGGTAAAGCACCTTGTCCGCGGCCCCTTGCACCCCGTCGCGTTGCTACAAATGGGAGGCGTTTTTTAACATGTGTCGAAGTGACACAACCAAATTCGCCCATTCAATACTGTGATGTGCATCCAGACAGATTTTGATGACGTGGTCGAGTCCATGAAGTCCAAGGCGAAACACCGGGAAGACGCTAGGACTAGCGCTGGAGAAGGATCGGAGGGTATTAAATAGTAACCATCTCTTCGCCAGCGGCGACTCCCTCACGCAGCGGCAACCTCCATTTATGGAACGGAGCGACCCCGAGGGGAGTAGATAAAGTACCGTGGAGTCGTGAAGGCCACATACGCGATTTAAAGCGGGACACGACGTCGCTTGCAAGACAACAGGCGTCAACGGTGTCGAGTGTGTCATGAGATATGCTATGAGGTTGAAAGCCAGGATCGCCGTACTAGAATCCCACGCGACTGGCATCGGTTTTTGTTGTGTGGGTGTGTTCGTGCCATCTATTCTGGTGCGAGGCTAGACATCTTTCGGTGTATGTGGTGGACGTATAAGTTGGGGTCGCACAGGACAAAGGTCGCACATGCCGCCGAAAATTTGAACACGACTTATGTAGTCGCCATGCAAAGACAGAACAACTAGTCTATTTTGTCGCCACACAAATACAGAACGCCCGCAGAGCACAGACAGAGCCGCACCATGATGCACACGAATGAATGTTTGATGACTCGACGTTCTCCCCAAAATCTATGATTGTTTTCCCTGGTTGGTCGCGGCGGTTCAAAACCAAGAACCAATGAGGGGCGCGATTCTCCGTACGGTGTCAGTGCTGCGTAGGTTTTCCCAGATTCTGTTGCGAAGTCAGACATCCAGGCATACTTTTAGAGGATGGACCTCGCCTCGGGATTCGGGTCTTCAAACCGCGGCAGGATCGCTCTGATTGAAAGGTTGGACACGCTCACGTCAAAATCTATTCGTCGCCATGCAAAGATAGAACGCCCGCAGAGCAGAGACAAGAGCCGCACCATGATGTACACAGAATGACGTATGAGGGGCGCGATTCTCTGTAAGGTTTCAGTGCTGCGTAGATTTTCTCAGATGCTGTTGCGAAGTCAAACATCCAAGCATACTTCTGAGGATGTATCTCGGCTCGGGATTCGGGTCTTCAAACCGCGGCAGAATCGCTCTGATCGAAGATTCGACACGCTCAAGACAAGATACAATTCAAACGCCATTGCCAACAAAGTCGCGCGGTGTCGTAAATTAGGACACCGTGGAGGTGGTACCGGTCATATCGCAGCGATGATGGGTCACTTTGGGCCGAAAGAGAGCTTGCGTGAAGTCTGCGAGCTGCTGGAACACAGTGAAGGTGTTTTTGAAGAATTATTGGCGGTGTCGAAACAACGGCGTTGTAAATAGCATGATCGCTTTGACCTAAAGCTGTTCGTGATCCCATGCAGCTGCCCATAGCATGACCTTTGCTTCTTGAGTGTTTACCGGGCACGTCGGAATTGAGTGCTTCTTCTCATGGCCAAGTTCTTACGTGCGGTTGCGATCTGTAATCCCTTGTAAGTACAAGCGAGTTCTTTCTTTGGTACTTTTTCTTTGGATCGGTCCATACAGTACATCCAGGGTCAAATAGGAGGGGGTAAACACCGAGCCTTTTTCCTTACTGTTACGAGATTTCTTTTGCGAGAAGAGTGGTCCGTGTAGGTGTGCGCTCATTTAAGGCATCGTGTGCATGATGCGTATGCGCGCAAAAAAAAAAAGAAAGTTGACCATGAGGGGGGGGGGGAAACGGCGCCATGCGTGCCTGTCTGTCCGTCCATCTAAGGTGCCTAAATATGCCAGCAGACTGGAGCCCATTTCACCATCTAGGCACCAAATTGCAATCTAAGACTTGCGCAGAATAAGTAAATTTTTGGCGCGGGCTCTCCCAACTACTACCTTTTCATTCCGTGGTCGGTGCGTCGAGATAGCACAGCATCTGTGCAAGGGGCCCTCCAAGTGGAAACCGTGGAACACCCCAGCTCCCCCGCCCCCCGGGCCAAGATTGACACGCAGGATCACCACTCTAGGTGGCTCACTTGCAGCAGCGTTTGTATAGGAGTTAGTGTTTCGATATTAAAACCAACTTAATGTTCACTGTTTTAGCTTTCGTGCCGCATTCTGAACCCATTAATTCTAGACTATTCATAGTGTAGGGCTTAGCAAGGTCATACTATATCCTCCCCCCATCGTGACCAAGATTGAAGCGTAAGCAGGGGATGTTCCACAGTTTCCACTAGCTCTGCGTGGGATCCCGTGCGCGCGCGTGTGCTCGCGTTGAAAAAGCGCGCGAAAAATGTAGGAAGCCCCGGGGATTTGGTCAAATTGTCCCCTCCGGAGACTAAGGGCCGTTTTAAACGGACCGACTCTTTGTCAAAATTTTTGAAAGTGTCAAAAAAATGGAACCTGTATGTAGGCGTTTGTCCATTTTTTTCAAAAATATTTGGAACGAAGTTGGGCGCGAAAACTTTGCTCCACTTCGTTCCAACTTTTTGACAACCCTCTCAAAGTATTTGGAGCACTTTCCAAAGTACCCTTGCAGAGGCACGCGAGGGCTGCTGCGTCTGCACCACGAGTGCCCCTCACCGTAGAAAGTCATCTAGGGTTGTGTGCGAGTCATCTGTCGCTGTCGCTATTGCTATCGTCGCTGTTGCCAACGTTGATGATGCTGTCTGCTGTTGCTGTGTCGTCCGAAAAACGGCGGTCCGCCATGATGGCTTGCAGTTGTTGCTTCCCGTCCGCCGCTTTGTTTTTTCCTTTTCCCGGTGGGTAGGAGCAGTGGTTGCCACCCCTCGCCGGCGGCCTGCTCCACCCTCGCTCTGAGTGTTGGTGGCGGCAGCGCCTCCCGTGGTCACATGAGTGTTCCCCGAGATGCCAGGCAGCAGCACTATCTTGCTGGAGAGCAAGCCTCCACCGCCTACGGCGGCACCGAGAGAGCCCGTCTGCTGGAATTTCGCCGGGGTTTTGGTCTGCCGGCCACGCTGGGTGGTCGTGATATCCATGTCGGTGTCCATGATGTCGTGTTTTCCGCGGTTTGTGTTGTGTCGTCTGTGTTGTCTCGAAGTGAGCGCTACAACTCACGGACGGCGTCATTCTTTTTTACACAAGTTGCACAAGTCCACGTCACACGTTTAAAATGACTGCACACAGGTTCCAAGTTTTTGAAAGACAGATGTCGAAAATTTTGACAAAAAAGTCGGTCCGTTTAAAACGGCCGTAAGGCCTCCCCCCCCCGCGACCAAGATTGACACGTAAATTAAGAGTATTCCATGGCTCGGCCCCTTGATTTGCGCAGAATATGCACGTCGCATCCAGGCGTCCCAGACTTGGAGGAGGGGGCTTGTTTGGGACCACACGTACGTAGGCATAGATAAGTGCACGCAAAACACAGCAGCATCCGAATCACCCGGAGCCACACATGGTCAAGGACCGGGGAGGAAGGAGACACACACCAAGCGAGAGTTTGGGCGAGAACGAGACGGGAGCAGGGTGTGTTCTATACTGCTACCTTTAGCTGTCGGCAGAGGAGCGAGAGGAGACGTGCATACATACACGTTTGATTGTTCTTGTTGGTCTCTCGGTCGTTTTGTTGCAGCCAGTGTGCTGTGGGACGTAGGCTGACACGCAAGACACCACGGAGCCATATATAGTCTAGACTATGGTCAGTCTATCGAAAAGGGGGGAGGGAGACACACACCACAGCGATGGCGAGACTGCAGGAGGAGCAGGGTGTGACCTATACAGCTGCTGTTAGCTATCTATCGGCGGAGGAAGCGAGAGGAGAGATGCACGTTTGGTTGGGTCTCTCTCTGTCGGTCACCGCTTCTTATTTTTTGCAGCGAGCGGCGGCACACGGCGGCAGGCAGCGTCGGGCGAAAAATTGGTGGTGTTCCATGTTTGAGCGTTGAGCTTTTTTTTGCACGATGCGCCTCTCAACATACGGTCGCCATGCCCATCACCTTAGAGTTTGTCCCGCACTAGCTCCCTCACCAGGTCACGGTACAATCCAGCTAACACGGCGACGTTTGTCTTCAAATCTCGATGCTGCCATTGTTCGTGCGTGGAGGTAGATTAGTCGGATTGTACCAAAATCACTGGCGGTTTCGTGTACCGCGGATGGGATTGCCTTGAGGGGCGGCTAGGAGAGACCTTGAGATACGAGTTGCGGGCCCCCTTTTCGACTGGCTTTGGGCCTGGCACTCTTCCTCCCTCTTGTCCTTCTCCCTCATGTTCCCCTACGATAATACATGCCGTTAACAACACTCTTTGGACTCTGGAGGTCACACAACAAGGGCATACCAACATTCTAGAATGCATCCTCCGGAGGAGCCCGATGATCTTCAGAGTTCAGCTGTGGTGAGAAGCAGCAGCAGGAGCGTTGTGCGTGATCCCGTGGTAAGGACATTACTGAGTGACACGACGCGCAAGTTTTGACTAGGGTTTCGAGTTGAGGCGAGAACCAGGGGTGTAGGAGATGATGGGCAGGCTGCCATCGCTTCTG